TAAGCCAGTTTTCTATCCAATTACAGATTGAATACTCTATACCTACTGACCTTAACTTATACATTAGCTGCATGTGGGGAACTGTGTCAAACGCTCTTGCAAAGTCCAAGTATACTATATCCACAGGCATTCCTCTAGTGTTGGGATAGTATGTTTTGTTAAGCAGCAAATTGAAGGAGCTCTGCAATGTAGACCTTTTTTGCCATATCTCTGCTAGCAGCACTGTTGTGGTCTGTAGCCACTGCCTGCAGTTTACTAATTGTGATAAAAGTACCAGTCATTTGGGTAGCACATGCACGCGGAAACACATGAAAATGCACCAAAGAGAATGATGAGAGCGGTACCTCTTTCCTCACATTTCACCTCCACAAGATTCTCCATCTCTACCTGCTGCAAAATCTGCAGCCTCCAGCCATAGGGAAGAAAGTCTCACAAGTGGTCCAGAGGTTTAGCTTATTGCACTTCAAGCAGGGAAAAGGGTCAGCATGGGCATATGCTGACTAGGACGAAACATAGGCTTAAATGTCCCTGTATGTCTCCTAACTCCACCTCACCAGCTCCACAGAGGTCATGTTTATGTCTTGACCAGCAAGTGTCCGTTCTGCAGCTACTGATTTGGAAAACAAAATGTCTACTTATCAGCCTTTTGCCCAGCATCTCAATGCCAGTTTGTGATGGTTTTACATCTGCTGGTTTTACAGCTGCTCCCATTCCAGCTGGAGGATTTGGCCACCTTGTGTGAATGTATGGCCTGTGCTGCACCACAGTGGCAGGTACCCAGCCATCTCTTGTTTGTCCAGAGGGCCATGTCTGCTCTCTACTAGCACGTAGAAGGTAATGTCTCTGTGTTGCTGGACCATGCAGTCAATGGCAGGGTCCACATGAGCACAGACACAATGACCTTCTCAGAATCACCAATAATTCCCAAAGCCTATGCAGTATCCCAAGCAAAATGCTTCCATGCTGTTTTGTAGCTATACACCTGGTGTACAGGAGCCAGATTAGACCAGAGATTCTAGCAGCTGTTCAAGGGCCGGCTGAGAGGTGGCTGACTAAATGCCATGCCAGGTAAGGTCGTGTGTGACAGTGACACCAACCTGCTGGTCACTTTTTGGCAAGAAAAAGTCACACACACGTACCTTACCTGGCTCATGTCCTAAACATGGTAGTGCAGCGGTTCCTGGTTAGGTATCTTGACTTCCAGGATGTCCTGTGGGAGGAGTCTTGTGGCTCCATAGGCTTTGCACAGTCATTTGCAAAGAATTCAGAAACCCAGCTGATACTATGCATGCTATCAAAATACTCTTCATGGGAATAGCATCTACCTAGTTAGTTCGACGTTAAAATATTGATTACACTACTCTACTGTTGCCATTCAGTCCTTGCAAGCTAATGCTTGTACCGAGAGAAGGAAACTATAAAGCAAAAACATTATGCATCATCATTACTAAAGAGTAAGTGTAGGCTGCATATGTAATGAGCATGAGCAACAAAAAAACGTAAAGATAATAAAGATTTGTTTTAAGTGTCCGTATTCAGCTGGTACAAGGTGCAAGGAGACTTGTGCCATACTTGACCAAAGCTCTAACTGTAAAACATAACTACCATAAGAGTCTAATGCAATTATTTTGGCATTACTGATGAAAGGTCATTGCATGTTAAGTTTGTAATCAATTTCGTCAAATATAACATTTTATTATTTTACCATAGGCACAAGTTATAAGTTTTATTTATTACTTTTCTTTAAACTTTTTTGTGTGTTTCTTTTAACTTTTTTCACAAATCTCCTGGTATTACATTTCTTAAAATAACAAGCTAAGTAAAAGAAATGTAATCACACTAGTGAAACTAGTAAACTTTATTCTAAAAGAGGCCCTAGAGAATCCCCGAGAATCAACAAGGAAGAGACATTAGTGGTGAGTACACCAAGTTATATATGAGCCTAATGTACCGGTAATAACATCTTCCTTTTTTATTGTTAGCATGTAACAGTACGTTACCCCTCTTATAATCTAAAAAATTACATGTATCAATTGTGAGCCTTGCAGGTAAGGCAATTCTGAAGGTAAGAGGCTTAGATACCTCATTTACTTTCCAAATACTTATTGACTGTATGTTTTTAATATATTATTAATATGTTTACATTTTTGTCATTTATGTTTACTAATTGTATTACCTTGTATGTTTTTTTAACAAATAAACACTGACAATTTTAAAGGGAATCTTTAGTACATTTTTTGAGTCATTATTGTATTATAACATTGTAATTTTCTATGCAGCTTTTTCATTTTGCTCCCTTACATTTCTCATATTGTGATAAGCATATTTAATGTACAGATTTGTATATTCCTCCTTTAGTATCTATTGGTATGTCAGATTGTGCTTTAAACATATTTGGTGAGTAACTATTAAAATACCAGGATTCCCCACATAGAGAAAGAACTGAAAGTACAACCCAGATAAATATCACTGACATATAACTGCCCCTTTGTGCATATATAATTGCAAAAAAATCCTGTAAATAGAAACATATTTTAGAACATTAATATCCATTGATAACATTAACAGATGTACATTAAGCTGATCACATTCATTTATTTTATCTCAGTCCAGGAAGAAGATGCAGACCCTAAAAAGTGCCTAAATAAAGATGGTTCTATCCATCTGGAGGAAAAAGCAGATAAAGTAATTGTATTGAAAGTACTGTTATAGGTAAAAAAAAACACCTTGAAGTGTTATACTCACACATACACTGAGCATGCATACAGTGAACAAGAAAAAGTACATCTCATTTTAGGTCTTTTTTAAGTCCCTTTCGTGAACATTACACAATTTTAAAAATGGTTCTGAAACCCACATATGTATGCAAAGAATTACAGAGTAAACCAATAAAATACAACCATTAAAAAAAATCATGTCTATTGTAAATGGGTAGGCTATATAGATAGTAATAAGAGCTTATCAGGGTTATTGGGTTAATCAACTAAAAGCCAAAAAAAAATCTAGACACACATCTCATCTCAGTAAGACTTGATGAAAATGAGCCCTTTGAAGTGTTCATTAGCTAATTTAAATGCTTGAGTGAGAACAGGCTTTGATGTCAGAGATCAGAAATTCAATTAAAATCATAGTGGCACAGAAAATTCTTGTAATAATTTACATTCCTATTCTGTAGTTTTGTTCCCCATCAGTACTCTAATCCTGAGATCATATATGTTGTGTTCTCTGCTGCAGAAATGAGCCGCTACAGGGGCATCTATTTTTTTGTTCTTTATTTTGAACCTGTGTAGGTTGGTGAAAACTTTGGCCTGTCTCCCCAACATATAGTTCTGTAGGGCATTATGCACATACGATCACGTATAACATGCTTGAGGATATGCAGCTAAAATGACCGTGTATTCTGCACTTCTGCTGGTGCCCTACTGGTGCTGTGGCTATGTATGCAGGTTTCTTATCTCTTCTGTTTGTTTGATTGATTTGAGTGTTTGTTTATTATTATTTTGTATATTATTTTATTGCCTATTTTTTGTAATGCTATGTATAAATATGTGGGTTGCATAACCATCTTCAGAATTGAAGGGACCTTAAGAAGGTCCCAAAAGCTTCCATCCTTAATAGCTTAAGATATCCAATAAAGGGTATTGCTTAAACTCCTATTTTTTCTGCATTAATTGATAGCTTACATGGTAGAAGATTCTACTACAAACCAATGGTTTGTTAATAGGGTGTTCTTCTTTACTCAAAACTGAACCATTGTGCCGATTGCTAGGTTCACTGTGCCCAACACACACTGGTGAAGTAACCACATTCCATAAGACTAATACAAGTATTAAAATACTAAACAGACATAACCAACTGGTGTTTTCTGGGTTTATTACTTTAGAACATAGGATAAAATACCAAATAATATCATCTAGAATCTTTTTTTTCAGGAATTAAGTAGATGTGGCCTTTAATAGAAATAATGTGGGCACCTTGAAAATGTTATAAACACAGTTCAGTTGTTTTATTTGAGGTTGATATACCTCATCTAAAGCCACAGAAAAAAAAATTGATTGTGCCAGCTGAGAATCACCCTATTTATTATTAGCACAAAGCAGTAATTGCCTATCTTGATGAAATCACCAGGCAACATACGTAAAGGACAAAAGGTTTTGGTAAAAAAAACAACACCCTTTTATAATAGGGGTTGTGGTGGTTATTGAATAAAGGTGCTCAAACTATAAAAAAATTAATAATATTATTCAGTTGGGTGCTGTCATCTGCTTCTGCCCATGAATATCAGAGGATCACTTGATCTACCCAGAATCAGGCAGATAACGCAAATATGTATGCCAAGTCTTTGACCACCAATAGGCAGTGCACACAATGATGATGAACATCAACAGCAATTGACCAAAAAAGAGTTGACGAGGTTTGGATGAGAGTGTGTTAATCAGAGTTACAAAAAAAGTCTGTTTGGCAGCACGGAGGAAGGAGTTATATTTTTATATATTTTTTTAATATTTTATATTTTAGGAGGGCATCTTTATATAGGGTGAAGTCTTGCAGAAGCCTAGTTTTCCACCACAGTCATTCAAGAGCACGGCTATGTCTTTTTAGATGTCTGCTTTCTTTAGTCTGCCACGGTTATAGTTGACTTGGTCGAAGTCTGCGTGTAGTGAGGGGAGCCAAGGTGTCTAGGGAGGATGAGAGCGAGCTGTTGTTTTTTTCTTCCTAGCTTCCTCTTTTTGGAACCATCTGCTTCAGAGATCCCCAGTTATATACATGTTAATTAATCATCCATAATAAGCCAAATCTCTTAGATCAACCACCAAACACAGACAAGTTAGCACATGAGCAGGGACACAGGATTTGTGCCATTTTCATGGTAAGGGAAATTGAACACTAATTACATGTTATTTTGTGTTCAATAAAAATATAGTAAAAATTATCATTTGGAATTAAGTCACTTTCACAAAAGTATTTAATCATTTTCTTTATGCACCAGACAAACAACAATGGAAAATCAGACTAATGTAAAGGAGTTTATTATTCTTGGTTTCTCAAACATATGGGAGTACCAAAACCTCCTGTTTGTGTTTTTCTCGATATTGTATATCATCACTGTCACTGTAAATATATCCCTCATCACCATAATTCGAAGTGTACGTCAGCTCCATAAACCTATGTATTTCTTTCTTGGTAACTTATCTTTCCTTGAATTGGGATATATATCTGTGACTGTCCCAAAAATTATTATAGACATTCCAAGGAAAAGAAAAAGCATTTCCTTTAATGGGTGCATCACCCAGCTCTTCTTCTTCACTTTTCTTGGTGCCACTGAGACCATTCTTCTCTCAGTTATGTCATTTGATCGGTTTCTGGCAGTGTGTTTCCCTCTACGCTATACAAGCATAATGAGTCACAAGGTCTGTTTCAATCTGACAGCTGCCTCCTGGGTGCTTGGTTTCTTGACCACATCATTTCCAATTATCCGGATATCACAGCTACATTTTTGCAGTGCAAATGTAATTAACCATTTCTTTTGTGAGTCAGCTCCCATGCTCAAACTGTCCTGTTCTAACCCTTATTTCAGAGAACTCACTGTTATTGTCTGTGCATCTTCAGTCATCCTCAGCTCAGTTATTTTAACTATGATGTCTTATGGATATATATTAAAAGCTATACTAAGAATCCAATCCACCAATGGAAAACAAAAAGCTGCATCTACCTGTGCTTCACACTTATTGGTGGTAACGACTTTCTACTCAACATTGTTTGCAATGTACATTAAGCCTACTGCAAGTGAAGGCTCCCTAAACAAAGTGATGGCATTATTCTATGCGGTCTTCACTCCCCTTGTCAATCCCTTTATTTACAGCATACGTAACAGGGAAGTTAAAGAAGCCTTTTTGCGCCTCACAAAAAGAAAGTGGTTCTGAAATTATGGTGGGGACAGTATAATAGCTTAGTGCCAAAAAATGAAGTAATTAAGCTGTTAAAATCCACAGTATTTAAGTGTTAGTAAAAATAATCTTATATATAATGTATGTGTGTTTCCTGTGTTAAAATGCATAGTGATAATATGTATTTCATAAAAAATGGTTTCAAACAATTAAAGCTGAGTTTCAACCTAACCATCAGTCTTGCTTACTGATAGTGGCATTAGAAGCTGCAGGAGGTCAGATAGAGCCCACCTCATTTCTGGGCTGGAAGATATCCAGCATAATTGAGCCCTTTCCTCCCTAGCCTTACTTTCCTTGGCTCACTCAGTTTATTTAATCATGGGGGCTCAGCATCACATGTGGCTGTTACCTAGGGCAGACTGAATGCAAATGCAGCCTGCACTAGGTAACAGCCAATCAATGTATCCCTCCAAGTGGGCAGGGCATTGCAGTTAACAGCCATCTTGCCCATATCCTGAGGATCACACATGGAGACCAGCATTAGTTCAGGGTACGTGTCTATCAGCTCCTGCATGCGCCTAACTAGATGATCCCTCAGTCTCACTAGCAGTGCTACAACATCTGGTAGAAGACCACCAGTTATTACTTTCTGATAGGAAAGGAACCCCTCTATATTGTGGTGGAAATGCATGAACAGGGGTATGACCTGTGCTATGTTGGCGATTTCTTGGCTAGGATTTTCTGTGACAGCACAGAATGGCTTGAGGACTGCCACAACCTGGTCAATCATAGCCCAATCCTCCAGCATAGCTAAGGTGGAATTCCACCTCGTCCCCTTATCTTGTTTGAGGTGTTGCTCCACTAGGCATGCTTTCCTCGGTTGCTGCCTGAGCAGATGGCTGTCTTTCACACTACGATGGAAGTGACCAGTGATCTTCCGACATGACTTTTAGTAGTGTGGTTAGCCCACCAGAGCTATTCTATTTGTCAAAAGCAGCCCTTACCACAAGGTGAAGGATATGGGCTAAGCAGCGCACATCCACACATTTACCATCCAGTAGAGCCTTTATCATGTTGGCAGCACCATCAATCACCACAAACCCCATCTTGACCTTACTGCGTATCTGCTCTCCTAGCCATTGCACCATTATCTTTTGCAGTGCTTTTAAAATGTTATGTAAGGTGTGCTGCTCATCAATCACCTCAGCATGCAGGAGAAAAGAACCAAGCCCCTGTTTGGAAACTGCACTGGCCAATGTTGGTGATCTTCCTGCCCCTGAAGTTGGTGGTATGTCTTCCAACACATTGGGCTGCCGCCAATGTGCCATCAAGGACAGGAAGGCATGCTGGCCACTAGGAGCAATCCATAGCTCAGTGGTGAAGTGCACTGACTGTCCAGAACCCTTTCGAGCTGTTACTTCAATACCCAAACACAAGGCCTGTACGGAGAAGGGACTACATTTTGGCTGAAGGTCATGTGGGATGGTACATGATATTGGGGCGCAGGAAGCTGCGTCAGTTGCCTAAAAGGCTCCCCTTTCACTCATATAACTGGGGCCCCTCCAATTGCAATTAGCTGAGCTATCAGGTGGGTAATTTTCCTGGACTACTGCTGGGACATCCCCCTGCCATGAAAGCTACACCAAATGTTCAAGAGTGGCCTGAGTGGAATCGGTAGAATGCAAGATGTCACCAGCATCCTTCTGTTCTTTGGCCTGCCTACAGGTGGTTGAGGTGCCACTAGTAGTTACCCTTGTAGTACTTGGCAGAGGAGCTACACCACTTTCTTACCTTAGCAACACTGGCTTGTGGTGGACACACATGTGCTGGTCCATGCCACTGTTGGTCAGATGACCCAAGACTTTGCCCTGGCTGACTTCCCTGCCGAAATATGGAACAGCAGCTGACCCTGCCACTGGCCAATCAAGATTCTTCCACTACAGTGGCTTCTGCCTCTCCACCTTGCCCTGATGGAAGGATTTCCTTGATTTTCATGTTGTAGTCTGTGGATTCTGGTGTGCCCTCTGGCCAAGGTAGAACAAGAGAAGGAGTGAACATCTCTGGTAGCTTGGCCACTGAGGAGGTTTGGGGCCTAGAAGTGGCAGCGTTAAGTTCCTGGGTGGAAGACTCTACGATAATAAATGGAGAGGCAGGTTGGGTAGGTGACTTGTCAGGGGAGTACACAGGTGGAAACTAAGGCATAACACATTCTGGTGAACTGTCACTGTCAGAGGGTGGAAAGTCTACCTCATCTAGAAAGAGAGAAGGTAAGCTTATTTCTAAATCTTCTGCTGATGGAATGACAGAAATATATTTTCCTGTTGTTTGGGAGACCTGCTGACCTCCCTCTTCTCCTAGCTGACATGGTACAGGAACAGCCTCACTGATTACTGCATGGCTGCTAGCAGTGCTGGTGGTGGTAACACTGGCAGTAATGGCGATGGTGGCAATATGAGCCTGACCAATTCCCTCCTGAAAGTCCAGAATCTCCTTCTTTGCCTGCAAAAATGGATGCTCACTGGGAAAACCATGCACAGTTTTGGCCTGACCTCTGCAGTAAAATATTACAGGTGTTACTTTGTTACTGGGAGCAGATGTGGCAAAGGTTACAGCTGTGCAGGAGGTTCGGGGGGGTATCCTGAAAAAACTGGCAACTAGTAGGTGACCAACATTTCCTAGGCTCAACCCTGCTTGGAATGGCAGCTGCAATGTCCCTGCCTGTACTTTTCAGCTTGTAGGGAGGGGGGGCCAGGTGAGGGGGTACGGACACAGGGCAGGCCACCTGCTCCTGTTGACTCACAACAGATTTTGTTGTACCTCTCCTCCTGCGAGATCTAACAGTAGAGGACAGTAGGGTTTTACTACTGGTGGAGGGACTAGTTATGGCTGAGCCTGCAAATGCTGTGGTGCCATATTGTGACACAGACAGTAGTACTAGCTGCAGGAACACTGCTTACTTCACGAAAGTGGACTGTATCAGGATGATCCATTTAATTCATGGTGAAAATATTATGGATCATCCAAAATCCAAAATTCGGATGCATCCGAATGTCCAATGCACCCGGATTTGTCGAATTGAAAGAAATTTGTCTGAATTTCAATCTAGAAAGAAACAAAACTCACATGTCTACTTTTAAGTTCTTTGTGCAAAATAACATATTTTTTTAGGCTTGAAATAGGTTTTATACATGTTTTACAAAAACACAGATAACATACTGTAAAGGGAGACAGTACAGATATAATGATCATGAGAGCTTACAATTTGAACTGGTAGGGCAAGTGATACAAAAGGTAGTAACTGTTTGCGTATGAGCTGTTTAAGAAAGTAACATTTCAGTCATTAGGGAGAGGCAGGATAGGCTTCCCTGAAGAGATGAGTTTTCAAGCGTCACCTACTGTAAAGGCATTCAGAGTAGGAGATAGCTAGACAAACTGAGGTAGGGAATTCCAGAGGACAGTAGAGGCCCTGGAGAAGTCCTCGAGGTGAGCATAGACTTGACAAGCTAGAGAGCAGGCGGTCATGGGAGGATCCATAAAAGAAAGAACACCGGATTCTTGTTCCTCTAGTAATCTTATTAATAAATTAGGCATCATATACCGGTCAGTGACTCAAAACAAATACCTTTCCAATAAACAAATCGTTTTGTAAAGAACAAACTATTTAAAGGAGCCACAATTACAGACCAGCGGAGCCTTTTTATAATGTATCAAAAATGTCTTTATTAATTCCACAATCAAATAACCTCCATTATCAAACTTTTAAACCCCGTACCGCATTCAGATGCACTCCACTACCCCAATAATGTCTTAAATAGCATAGGTATAAAGTGCATACAGTTCAAATGTAGAGGCCGCTTCCACCGAGATCAGCACACAAATTGATATACTATATTGAGATCCCACTGTAGTTAAGAGTCTGCATAAATGCGGTGCGTAATGATTCAATGATTCATCAACTTCTTTCACGTGAACAAAATGTGGATACTTTAATTTCAACCTCCTAAAAGGCTGTGTGTATATGATGATTCTTTACCACCGTTAGTTCAAAGATGAATGAATATATTGTAGTGACACAGTGTGACATTGTTATATCGCTAACGTCTGTGGCTAAAGTATACAGTGACTGCATATGCTCCAGGTTTTTCAGGAGGGTTAATCTAAACTTGATTGAATAGCCGTATGCATCCCACAGAGACCTTTTAAGAATAATCCACAACTCCCCTAATGTGGGTTTTTTTCCTTTCACATCCTCTTCGTTACAGCAACATATCAATTATAATGGTATTAGAAAACGGTCCAAAGGGGAGCATCAATTGGCTAATAATTATGGAAAAACCATTACTCACAGTCCACCTTGCAAGGCGTTGTTACCACAGCTATCAGTGTTCAGCAGCTCACATTGGATTAAAAGTTCTGCTACAGCATATTTAATAAATGGCGGTCCCAGGTATGGTGACTGGGGGGTGGACGGATGCAGGAACTAATGTTGGCGCGTTTTGCCCCTCCTACTCCAGGGCTTCGTTAGGACGTAACAGGGGAGGGCTGTAGCTCACTTAAAAAGCATTCCTTCCAGTTCTCATCATTGTTAACCCTTTACAAGTTCATGAATTCAGAGTTTGTATATGTCATTAAAATGAAACACATTAAAAAATTCTGTGTGTATTAAACAGAATAATATATTCATTCTGGCATAACAAGCAGGTAGATTCTTGTGGTATCCAATAAATTAGTTTTTTTGTTTCAGGCTTTGTTTTCCTTGATTTCCCCTAGTTATTCTTTCAGTAACACACCTCCTGTCCTAGTGTGACAACACTCACTCATCATACTGCTGAAACAAAGTTGTCATTTTAGGACAGGACTACAGAATATCTGCACCTCTCCTCTTTGATATAACATAAAGGGAGAGGGTTCATGGTCCTTAGAGATACTGTAAGCAATATAACTGATAAGAATGAAGCACAGACAGAGTGCACAGAAAGTTAACAACTGACATTTTCTGGCAAGATCAACCACTTTTTTTGTTTGCAATTATTAAACAGATATAAAACGCTTTTAATTGTATATTTAACAGACCAAAAGGGTTGAATATAAGAGAATGCATTGTTAGGGTTTACATACTTTAAAAAGGCTCTTTAATGTAGCTTAAACATGCAGTCCTCTTTAACCACTCACCAGGGCCGGACTGGGACTAAAAATAAAAATCCCTGCAAAACATTATCTCGGGCGCCCCCCACACACTGCAGAGCACCCTCAGATCCTGCAGAGCCCACCAAAGGGTATTGCACAGCACACCTGAGACTCTTTGGTGGGCTGTGCAGAATCTATGCTGGGCTCTGCCAGCACAGTCCTCTTACCTTGCAACGCCTGACCGCTTTGGAACGCAGCCTCCTCATCCTCGGCTCACGACACGGCCTCCTTGTCATCTTCGCCGCCCGACTGGAGCTTCGGCAACGTCTGCCACCACCTCCGTCAGTGTCTCTGCCTCTTCCGTGTCTCCACCTCTTCCGTCTCGGGGGCACTCGACACATTTTTTTCTCTCTTGGGGGCCGCTTGCCACATTTCATACTTTAAAATAAAGTGTAACTGTATCCAGTTTAAGTACTACAGACACTAATACAAACACAATAAGGTCCTATTCATATCTGTAGGTTTAGGTGCGATTAGGGATTCCTGCGTCAGAAACTTGCGTTTTACTGCAGCAGAAATCCCTAATCTGGCGTTTTCAAGTGACAGCTGTCACCTAGTCAAGTTAATGATCAGGTGACAGCAGCTCCATGTAAACGCATGCACACCGTATGTAATGATATGTGATATGATTACATGCGTCCAGGGAGAGTGATTTATTGCTATCTGAACATATAAAGTATATTTACATGCGGTTTGGAGGTGTTTACATGTAAATTCTATCACTTTATCGGTAACTTAGTGACAGCTGCCATTTGTAAAACGCCAATTTAGGGATTTCTGTTGCAAAAGTGAAAAAAATTAAATTAAAAAAAGAATTAAATAAATATAAATAAACAAATTACTACAAAATAATAAGAAATAATAATTAAATAAAAAAATAAGAAATAAATGAGAAAAGAATTATAAAAAATAAACAATGATAAGATAAAAAATTATAAAAAAAATAAAAAAAAGTAAACGACAGGATAATTAAAAAAAGTTAAAAAATTTAAAAAGTGCTAATAAAAGGGGAAACAAACAATAAAAAAAATTAAAACTAACCCTGCCATTCTCCATTGATGGGGGGGGGAGGTTGGCGGGGAGGGGGGAGCATTGTGGAATCTGGCCTTGCAGTCTTCTCTTCCTTAGCACTGGGGAGGGACGGCGATTTGCATATGAATGAGCCGCGATATTTACATATGAATGGGGCGCGGCTTATTGATATGCAAAATACAGCGGCCCATTCATATGTTAATATCTCGGCCGGTACCGGGACACTGCAGGCTGCAGGAACAGCACCAGCAAGCTCCGGAAAGAGCACAGAGTAGAGAGAGCTGGGGGAGGAGGTGTTTCTCTGGCCTCCCCCACCAGCGCCCTCTAGTGTCTACTGTGTGGTAGTGCCGGCTCCGCTCGCTACCACACAGTAGACACTGCTCTGCACAGAGTCGGCATAGCGGACCGGCCAGAACACAATCAGGTTAATTGTGTTTGGCCCGGCCCACCGGGCAAGTGCCTGGTTTGCCCTATGGCCAGTCCGGCCTTGCCACTCACTGCCCAGAGCAATTTCTTACATTTGCACACACATGATAAAATCTGAATTTGTGGCTAGAAAACAGCTTCAGAGCCCTAAACGTTGATATATTTTCTGAAAGCAGAGGCCCTGTAGAATAAAAAGATGCTAGTTGCAATTTTGTATGCCACACGGTATTTGCACAAATGTTTATCAAACCAGTGTTTTGTAGGATAAAATACATTAAAATTAAATTTAGTGCACAGACACAGAATATAAAACCCAATTTTTAGGTAAAATATAAAAGACGGGGTCACGCCGGGTACATAGATACCAAACATGTCAAGCCTTAAAATTATGTGCATCTGTGAAACCGCAAAAAACTGCTATAACCAAAACTTCCCATAGGTGACGCTTTAAATGCTTTTACGGCTCATCAGTTTAGTGTTAACAGTGATTGATGGGCCTAGAATTATTGCTCTCACTCAGATGCTTGCGACGATATGTACCATGTGTAGCGCAAATTTTGTTTTCGCACGTAGGCACATCCAACACATGCTTGCGTTGTACGTGCATGCACATGCGACTTTAACTTTTTGTCTGTATTTTACATTTTTTTATCTGTTACTTTAATTTTTACATTTTTTTTTACACTCAGCTTTATTGCTATCGCATAGGGGCTAACAAGCCCCCTATATAATAGCAAATATAATGTGACAGGTCCTCTTTCAGACCCCTAATGTCACCAAGGGACCCCAAAGAAGCTGATGAAGCAGAGATCTGCTTCATCAGCTTCTTCTTCTGGCTCTAGGAGTCGGAGAATGTGCCCAGTGACACCAGAAGTGATGCAATGCACATCACTTCCCGGGTCCAGTGATCAGAGGAGAGATCAGCGGCTGGAAGCCGCAGCACCGTGCAAGCGATCCAGCACCTGTACAAATGTTGGATTACTTGTATTTAAACAGCAATCGCTGGCTGTTTAAAATGGTACCAAGAACACGGCTGCTGCAGCAGCAGCAGCTGTGTTCTTGGTATAACCACTTCCAGCGGATGATGTACATTTACGTGAACCCGCTGGGAGTGGTTAAAGTGAATCTGTCATCAAGTTGAAATTTTCTCAGATACAAAATAGAAGCAGTCATTTCCAGTAACAAGCAATTTACTAGTTCCAGTTATGGAGGTATACCTATGGCTTCTTAGAGAGATGTTAAAATGTTGATTTCTTTTACTGCCATCTGTGTCTATGTAGTGCTACCCCCGCAAGGGCCGCTGTAATAAACGGGTCTTCTGTCTTTTTTTTCAAAAATTATGCGCAAACCACAGTGAAACGTTTCCGCCCTGGTGTGAATGGCGTCTGAATGAGGCCTAACACTTTACTTTAATGCTGCCACACCATGCTGGCTGAGGAAAGGGGGATTATAAAAAAAATGAAGGAACGCTAAACTGTAAAAAAGCGATTTATGTTATAAATGGTTTGTGTGCTGTGTTGGTGTGTGTGTGTTGTGATAAAATGATACAGACGTATATTTAATTGCATCACAAGGTATCACACGCAATGCGTCACAAAGCTTTTCCATGCGCTGCCACAGTTAAATTAATGTTTTTTTACAAAAGAACGTCCATTTTTTTTCGGATGCCCGTTGCCTCAGCTCATAGAAGCGGGGGAGAGCAGCGGGGATCCGGGCCCCCCCAGTGCCGCGAGCCCCATAGCGACCGCATCGGTCGCTATGGTGGTAGTTCCGCCACTGCTCCTCATTCTGTCTTCCTCGTGGTGGAGCCACCGTGTCTGTGGAGCCAAAAAACGGCCTGGCAGACACTCACAGCTCTCCTGGGCTGCTATCCAATCAAGTCCTTCCTTGCCTTTGTTGTTAGGGGTGGACTTCCTTCTTAGCTACAGCAGTAACCAATCCAAGAACATCCTGCAGCTGTAACCAATAGAGTATCTCCTCCAGTCTATGTGAGCTATCAGTTTAGCCAGAAAATGCAATGCAATGTTTCAGAGAGCAATACTCTGCATATATTACAGAAGCAAATACTAAGCCTGTGCTACATCTATATTGGGGATTCTATTCACTTTCTGTCAGGTCAGGAAGTAATGGTAAATCTCTCCAACAGGAACAGAGACAAAAGCAAAGGCACATATTAGTAGATGGATGGGTGAGAATTCCTAAAAATGTTTTAATTTCTGTGCGTGGCCAAATACAGACACAGGCAAAAATAAAATCAGGCACAAATGTTAGCCCTTCCTTTCCCTATTCAACATTAAAATACATGTTATGACTGGAGTTGGGCTTTAACTTGATGACATAATCCCCGTTTTTAAAGACAAATGTTGGTTGTGTAAAAGGCAGTAACCCATGATAGCCAATCAGCTATCAACTTGAATTATTCTGATTTCTCTTAGATAAAAAGTTAAAAAAAATTTATGTTATAAGTTCTTTGCATTATTTGCAATATGCAATTTACAATATTTTTAAAGACACATAAATTCCTCTACACATATGGTATGGTTGTATTCAGGTGACACTATCATTTATATCCCAGATTAATTTGTCTTTGCATTAACTTCTTATTAATTGCGTTCTGAAAATCATTGTTTCTAAAGCTATAAATGAGTGGATTCATGAAAGGAGTGACAATTCCATACATAACAGAGAGGACTCGTTTTTGTTCATTATAAGAAGAAGATCCTGGAAGGACATAAGTCAAAATAACAGTCCCAAAATAAAGAGCAAACACCAAGAGGTGAGACCCACATGTAGAAAATGCTTTCTGCTTCCCAGATGCACTGTGAATGTTTAACACGGCTCTAAAAATACACACATATGAAATAAGGGTTAAAGTGAAGCTGGCTAATATGATGCCACCTCCAATTAAAATAGACACTAGTTCATTCAGACGTGTTTCACTGCAAGAGAGTTCTGCAACAGACGGAATATCACAGAAGAAGTGATTGACCAAGCGTTCTCTGCAGAAGGGCAGTGAAGCAGTATATACAGTGTGCACAAGTGAGTTTGAGAACCCAATACTCCAAGAAAGCACCATTAGCTTTATACAAAAATAAGGATTCATAATTGTATTGTAGAATAAGGGTTGACATATGGCAGCATATCTATCATAAGCCATACAGGAAAGGAGGACACACTCAGAGCTCCCTAGGCCAATGAAGAAAAACATCTGAGTGAAGCAGCCAACAAAGGAAATAGTTCTGTTCTCCTGTAGAAAGTTCTTCAGACTGTTTGGAGTAATAGTTGTAGTATAGAAGATTTCTAAAAAGGACAGGTTCATCAGAAAAAAGTACATTGGTTTGTGCAGGTGAGAGTCATATCTGATTATAATTATGATCATTAGATTCCCAATGACAGTCATAATATATATAAAGCAGAATACCACAAAAAGAACCTTTCGCAGTGCCGGTTCAGATACCAAGCCCAACAATTCAAATTCTTCCACATCGGAAAGGTTGACATTCAACTTTGAGTATACAAATCTGTCAAATGTAATCAAATAAAATTAAAGCTATGCACACAGAATTCATACTTCTGATAAAAAATTAAAAATGTTCAAGATATGTTACCTTAAACTCATACTGACAGTATTACCCACATATCAAGCTTATAGAGTGCTCTTGTTTCCTTTTGTGAAAGCTGTTGTAGTTTGCATGCAGATTTAAACTGATGTTTAATACTCAACACTCTAAAGTGTTTTTTTTCTTCTGACTTTTATACTCTGTTCTGACATGCAACCCAACAGGGAATAACTGGGGAAGGTGTGAATTATCAAGCTAATTAATGATTTAATTAGTTTGATGTTATTTATTTATTTATAGACAGTAATTGATGGATGTAATAATGTGCCCAGGTATACTGAAAGAGATAAAGAGCAAATAAACAGAAAGGAAGACAGACAGACGGGGTAATAGACAGCTATGGCTCTACTCGTGCTAATGCATTTTGCACTTCTAGTCAGTGTCAGGCAGGGGCTGACTGGCAACTTTTAGCCCAGGGGGCAAGTACAACCTAGAGGCCCATGGTGCAGCAACTTGGCCTCCCTCCCGCTCTGCCTCTTCCCCCCGCCTTCTCCTTGCCCGTCTGCCACTTTTGCCATCCATGTAACGGTAGTGTGAATGGTCGGGTGTGGATGTGAGGCAGGAAGGAGGTGCGGTGTGGAGCGTGGATGCGGGCGGGCGGGTCTGGCAGCGGCAAGCGTGAGGCGGGGAGGAGGTGATGCATGTGGATGCGGGCGGGTCTGGCAGTGGCAAACGTGAGGCGGTGCGGCGTGTGGAGCGTGGATGTGGGCGGGCGGGTCTGGCAGCGGCAAGCGTGAGGCGGGAAGGAGGTGCGGCGTGTGAAGCGTGGATACGGGCAGGCGGGTCTGGCAGCGGCGTGAGGCAGGGAGGGGGTGCGGCGTGTGGAGCATGGATACGGGCTGGCGGGTCTGGCAGCGGCAAGCGTGAGGGGGGAGGAGGTGCGGCATGTGGAACGTGCGGGTCTAGCAGCAGCAAGCATGAGGTTGGGAGGAGGTGCGGCGCGCGGCGTGTTTGGAGCCGTGACCAGGGCCAAGTAAATGAAAGCTGATTAATCAATGATTGAAAATGTTGAAGACTTTTTCAATCATCGATTATAATCGACTTAGTCGATTAGTTGTTGCAGCTCTACATTCATCCCCGATTTCTGGGGACAGTCCCTGGATTAAGGAGACCGTCCCCAGACAAATGATGTCTCCGGGATCATAATATAAACTAGGGCTGCAGCTAACGATTATTTTCAAAATCGATTAGTTAGCCGATTATTAAGCTTGAATAATCGATTAATCAGATTTTCTTTTTTAAAATGGCTCCAGTGAAGGCGGCCGCTGGGTCCTCGGCTTCTCGGGCTGCCCTCTACACTGCCTGATTAGAGGGCCTCTCCTGCCTCATCCAGCTAGATCAAGCAGAAGCGGCCCTCTAATCAGGCAGTGTAGAGGGCAGCCCGAGAAGCCGAGGACCCAGCGGCCGCCGATCACAGATGCCGCATCGGATGCCGGCAACAGTGGGGGTCACGGGGGCCGTACGCTACGGCATCGGAGAGAGGCCCAGGGGGCAATTGCCACCCTGCCCCCCGGCCCAGTCCGCCCCTGGTGTCAGGTAAACATTTAGTTTTGCTTCTGAATCCTCATAGTAAGTTTATATTGAGTGCTAGCTTGTCAATTAACAAATAACTGCTTGAGATTTTCTTCTCTAAGCCTGACAAAGACAAACTCAGATCAAAGGCCTGAAAAAATTGCCTGTATTAAGTCAAATCACATTCCACTTGCTAAACGCTCCTAGTGCATCAAAGATTTGTAGACGCTGGCTACATGCACTCTGCTAAGGGTGACTGATGATGTCTACGGTTCTAGGGTAAGGTGGCAGTGAACTGCAGTCATATACAGCCAGTTTTGTACATGCTGTGATGGCTGCCTCTAGGACTCTGCATCACTTACTACTGACCCCTGAACTCTGCATCACTTACTACTGACCCCTGAACCCTGCATTACTACTGAACCCTGTGTTACTTACTACTGAGCTCTGAAGTCTGCTTCACTTGCTACCGTCTCCTACTTATGACCCCTCCACTCCATGTGTTACCTACAGATGTCCCCCTGTACTCCATATAAATCTCCACATAAATATTCAAAGCATTCAGAAATCTCAGAAAAAAGTTTCAAATTTGAAATATTGACAGGACTCGGCAAAGTCTTCTGTGTCCCATGTGACAGCAGTCAGGCCTGATGCCTGACCAATCTGGAGTCCAGCTCTAAATTATGTTGGAAAGTGAAAGAGGCATATTAGCCCGTATGCAAAATTATTTGGTAAGAAATACTGTACTGAGTATTTGTTGGGGCACTGACAGCTGATCAAGTGGGTAGGGGAGCACAAGGAAGATTAGCACAGAAAGCTTGCAAACCTGATATGCGGCACAGTACTTCCAAACAATAGGTGTGCTTTATAGTTACTCTATTTTTTTTATTAAAGATCAAACTCAATAAAAAAACCAGAACAAAGTCACAAAAATAAGTATATTGAAGTATACAACATGATATACATATATATAAATACAATAGCAAAAAAAAAAAAAAACTTTGCAGTGCCCGACCTTAATAAAGAGAAAAGGTGTGAGGCCCCTCTCCTATTTGGCTATGATTATTGGAGGGTTAATAGAGATCATTCTCCAAGTTGGTAAAATGGCGCTTGTATCTGCAGCCTTACTGAGTAGCTCTGATAACTCAAAATAATTTTGTGATGAAAAGAAGTTCCAACAGCTTTATGTTAAGAATTGAGAGGCTATACGTGTATATTTTGAAGTTTGCTCAGGGAATTTCTCCTTTTTTTGTGGGAGAGGAGAGATTTTTGCTTGAGGCAAAGAGAGGCAGGCATTTATACATTACATATCCCCAACCTCTACACTCTGTACTGAGCTGTACATTACAAACACCTGGCACCTGCAACACATACACTATGTTGTACACTACATACTGCCGACCCCTGCACTCTATTTGGTATACTGTAAACTACATATTTTTTAACAAAGTGTTAGCTCTATATTCTGTGTGCAGAAAAGCATATACAGTGGAGGAGTTTCATTTTATGATTCAATGATTATGTTGAGGTTTATGTGTGTCTGTGCAATTTTGTTATTTGTGGCACAGTAATTAAATCATATTTTTGTGAGTACAAGGACTGTGGTATATATGTGGCATGCATACAGCATGAAGGCTCTGGTTTTATTTAACCATGCCCATTTATTCCTGTCCCGCTGCTAGTGCAAAATGGTCACACCCACCACATTCACCTGTTCTAGAGGTGGCCATACACCTTACGACCATTGTACAACTTTTTTTTTTCCAGACATCTCAATACTCTAACAAGAGAGAAAATATTATAGTAAAGGAAAAGCAGCAGATGTCAAATAGATTGATAACATCCTAAAGTGTACCATAAACTGATATAATTGTAGGTTTGTTAGACATTTTTATTGTGGCACACACATAGAAAGTTTACAATATATGTAGCATGACAAATTACTAAAAATCAATATAAAACAACAGCAAAATGTACAGGTTATAAAGCATTTTTTTTTAAACTTCAATGAAGAGTTCCATACTCAGATTACATTACATGGAATCCATTCTGTGTTTTGGATTATACTTTTCAAGGAGCAGCTTAAAGCCCAACTTCAGGGAAATTAAGTTTTCCCTTGCAATGGGGCTGTCCCTGCACTGCAAGCAGAGGCGGCTCTAGAGTTTGCGAGGCCTTAGGCAAAACCTAAAGGCCTTAGGCAAAACCGAAACATGAGGCCCCACTCAGGCCTGTTGGGTCTTACCAGGGCTCTGTGGGGTTTAACCAGGCTGGTGAGACCCCGCAGAGCCCTGGTGAGACCCCACAGAGCCCTGAATAAATTAGGGCTCTGTAGGGTTTTACCAGGGCT